CAGCCGGGCCGGAGCCGCTTTGCCTTTTTTTTTTTCCTCTCCCGGACGCGTCACTTCCGCACAGCCGGCGGAAGCGGAGTGCCCTAGCGACGGAAGCCGGGGGGACGGCTACGTTCAGTTTCAGAAAAAAGCGAAGTCCTCACCGGGTGGTCCTGACAACGGCGAAGAAGCGAGCTGGTTTCTCTTCCTTTGCGGTGAGCGGCACTGGGGGAGGGAAACGACTACGCTGCCTTAGCTCCCAAAGTTTGAGGGGTTTTATTATATTGTGGGAGTTTCATCACTGGAAGCTTTCAAGAAGAGACTGGACTTCCATCTGTCAAATGGTGTAGGATCTGCTTGGCCGTGGGGGTTGGACTAGATGACCCACAAGGTCCCTTCCGACTATGTTAATCTGTTAAATAATATCACCGATAAAATTAAGCTCTCTCGTTTCCTCCCCTAGAATAACATAGGGAAAAGGCACAGCAAGCTCCATCTCTTCCAAGCCCAGAGCCCCACATTGCTCATTTGTTCGCACCTGCACTTGCTTACAGTAGTCTCTGACTTAACAACAGTTTACTTAGTGACCATTCAAAGTTACAATAGCACTGAAAAAAGTGACTTAAGCCCATTTTTCACAGTACAGTTGCAGCATCCCCTGTGGTCACGTGATTTACATTTGGATGCTCAACAATTGACTCGCATTTATGATGGTTGCGGGATCATGTGATCCCCTTGCAGCCTTCTGACAAGCCAACTCGATGGAGTAACCTGATTCACTTAACAACCATGTTTAATGACTGCACTGATTCACTTAACAAGTGTGGCAAGAAAAAAACGTAAAATGTGGCAAAACTCAACCAATTTCTCACTTAGCAACATAAGTTTTGGGCTCGTTTGTGGTCATAAAGTGAGGACTAGTGACACAGGTGAGGACACAGATGCAGTCACAAAGCATTGATCTTAGTGCTGCTGACAGGGCTTGTTCTGGAAACTAAGGTACAGTATCTCTAAAATGAGAAGGTAACAGACCGACAGTGCTCACCTTGGTATCATTTCTACTTAGGCCTACGTAGCTGCCGGTGGTTACTCTTGTTCAGCCAACAAAGTGTCACATATCCCTAAGTAATGTACACAACCATTGAAGCAGATCTCACAAAATAAAGTCCAAAACATGAAATTACAGACATTTGGTACTGAGGATTCCACTAGGATTTGCACAAAGCAGAAAAAGTGATTCTCTTTAAACTCAGGATAAAACACAAGGAATATTTCAAGTTTGCTGGATTCTGCAGAATAAAATTCAGAATTTCTTGAGTGTCTTGTTCCATCCTCAAAGTTCTTCAGTCAGAATACTCAGATTGGCAATTTAGATGTCAAAATATTTTCAATTGTTTTGCACACCCAAATATTTCATGTTTCTGTCAAAGTACACTGGGCTTGAGAAATGCATTTGCCATAGCAATACAATTCAACATGTTATTTGAATTACACTTTTAAGTGTTTGACAGTGTTCTCAAAATTAAAAGCATAATTACAATAAGCCTATAACTCATGCTTGCCCCTTCTTTTCTTTCTCATACTGTCTGGAGTGGGATAGTCTAGCAAATGATGACTTGGTGAAGATCCTGAAGTCCTCAAGATACCTTAAAAGCCTCCGTTTGCAGGCTAACCCCTTCTGAATTTTCTGAATTTTACTTTGCTAAATTGCTCATTTTTATTTTACTGCAATGAATTAAGTGCAGCTATTTGCATCCTATTTTAATTTTTTAAAAAGTTTAAATGATGCAGATGCTGTTTGTGGGCTCAGGTCTGGTTCCTTTAACATATTGTACACATTTCTATTATTTAAATTTGTTTTGCCTTGTTTTCCCAATTTGTTTTATTGGTTTGTTATTTATTTTTGCATAAAATATAAACATTAACAATATAAATAAAATATAAGTATAAAATAAAGCAATGTACACAATGTTCATTCCTTCAATCCCATCTCACCAAGACGAAGGGCTGGCTAAGAAACTGTGACTGCCCAAATGTCTCCCAGGGAATTAGAAACTAATTTTTTCCAATCATAATCACCACACTGGCTTACTAAAAAATCGAATCAGCCTATGTACAAAACCTAAACATGATTTTTTTTAAAAAATTAAAATTACTACAGGCCAAGAGAGGAATCACAGGCCAAGAGAAATAAAATATTATTCCAATGATATCTCCACGTAGGGATCGCAGGTTGGAAATACCACCTCAGAACTATCCAAAGAACAGATTCACATTATTTAGTAAACCACATCCATGGGTCTCAATGTGATGCCCAAACCTAGAACCTAAAACATTTTAAGGGGAAAAAAGGCTTAAAAAATCCACTCCATATTCAACACTGGGTGAGGCTCTATCTATTCATGATTCATAGTATCATTCAAACCTTGAAGGATTAACAAGGTTGGTTATTTCTTCGGGCATCTGAAACAAAATTGAGAACATCCACAAGAGAAGAATGTCTTTGAGCAGATGCTTATCTCATCCTTTCTCTCCCATGCATATGGGAGAGGGCTAAATAGGAACTAGGAGAGGTTACAGGAAGAAGGTAACGGAATAAGTTTTCTCTCACAGCACCTGTTGACTCTGATTCTCATCAGGCCATTGTGGAATATTTACAACAGCATTTTTAAAAAACCAGGAATTGACAGCCACAAAAACAGCTGAGATACTCATTGCTCCCAGTATAATTGTGCCAGTCTTCTTTGTTTGATCATCTGGCATCAGATTACTGGCTGAGTAACAAACCCACAGGTAGTGCTAGACTGTTAGGAATCTTGTGCAAACACACCCAATAATGGCGGAGCTACTGGTAGCAGGAATATGGCATACTGTATGCTGAGGGAAGGTTGTGCTAGTCAGCAAAGGTTAAAAGATCTTATTCGGTCCCATGGTCATATATTTGTTTTTCTGTTCCTACTGTAGTAGCTTTAACTAATGACCTTAAATGACAGCACTCCATTTATTGGATTCTTGCATAGAAATTGACGCAGAAAATAAGGGGAAGAAACAAGCAAGCAATGTTTTGCCAGAGATTTAGAGCTTACTTTTCCATGACTGCAATTGCTTGAAAAAATAACCTCGGAGTATTTTATGGGTGAAATTGGCTAGAATAAGTCAGACTGGATTTTTGGCTATTCCATTCCAACTCTGAAGGCACATAGGATGGTAAAAAAAAAACCTGTGAGGAAAAGGGTGGCAGTGACTCTCAGCAGCCACAGTCAATGATGCAGAATAAGGTGAATTGTATCTAAATGTCACAAATTGCCTCGCTAGCAAACATAAAACACCTCTTATTGTATGAACCAGAACTATATACACTCCACTGAAACATGTCTGTTTTGGGAAACTGCTTGCAGCTTTATTTATAGAGACTGCTCCTCTGTTGACTAGAACTTGGTATAGCATGGAAAGTTTAAAAAAAAACCACAAACTAATACTGTATATGCTTCAAAACTATCAATTGACAAAGTAAGTCCAACTAATCCAAAAACAGATCAACACATGCCCTTCCAGGTGCATCGGACTGCAACTCCCACAAACCCCATCATCAGTCATGCTAACTTAAGATCCAAAAATGTTACACAGAACGCAACACTAGGCAGATTTCAAGCCTTCTGAGAGCCTTTAATTTATGGATGTTTTTGAAAAATCTCTTGGGCTGAAGTTAGACATTTGCTTGATCAAGTTTTACTAGCTAGCCAAAGGCAGAGTACATAAATCGCTTTTTTTCTCCTCACAAAATGTCAAAAGATTTTGCAATAACACATCCTGATTGTCATCCAATTAAAGAAGTTAGGTGATTAAATACACATGGATACAGGTAGTCCTTGACTTACAATAGTTCATTTAGTGACCATTCAAAGTTACAATGGTACTGAAAAAGTGACTTTATGATCATTTTTCACCATTACAACCTTTGCAGCATCCCCATGGTTATGTAATCAAAATTCAGATGCTCAGCAAGAGATTCATATTTATGACCGTTGAAGTTTCCCAGGGTGGCTTCATGTGATCCCCTTTTGCAAACTTCTGACAAGCTAAGTCAATGGGGAAGCCAGATTCACTTATGTTAACAACTGCAGTGATTGACTTAACAAATGTGGCAAGGCAGGTCATAAAATGGGGCAAAGTTCACTTAACTGTTTCACATAGCAACAGAAATATTGGGCTCAATTGTGGTCATAATTTGAGGACTATCCAGTTTAAATCTAAAGACATATTTTGTTTTGACAATGCAGTGGAAAAGCTGTGCCTCTCAAGATATTACTGGTCTAAAACTCTGCCACAATTTCTAGTAATTGGTGATGAGCGCATAGTAGTGAGGATCTAAAATATAATTAAATTATATAGCACTTTTCATAGACAATTGCAAAACACTTTGCAAATTAAAATACAGGTAGTCTTTGACTTACAACCATAATTGGACATCCTAGGTGTCCTAGAACATCCACTAAACAATGTAATTGAGTTGTGTCCAATTTTAGAACTTTTAGTATGGCTGTCAAATGAATCACTGGTCATTAAGCCAATACAGCTTCCTCCATTGACTGTTTGTTTAAAAGCCCCCTGGGAAGAAGGTTGCAATGGTGATCATGTGACTTTGGACACCAGTCCTTGCACTATTGGCCATTGCAGTGTCCCCGTGGTCATACGACCAAAATTCAGGCGTGTTGGCAACTGGCATGCCAACATGCCTGAATTTTGGTTGCATGACCATGGGAAACTGCAATGGCTGTAGGTGCAGGGACTGGTCGTAAGTCACTTTTTAAATCACTGTCATAACTATGAACAGTTATTAAACGAATGTTGCAAGAAGACCTACCTGTATAAAACAAATCGTTCTCTTTATTTTTCCTGGATATTGTGAGAGACATGGTCTACAGCTGAGGTTCTTCTGTTGAGGACTGGAGACAATAACCAAACTGGGCATTTGAGTGGAATGTTAGAATCATGCTCAAAAAACATGCAGGACCAGGACAAAGACTAAATTTGATTTAATTTAAAGGTACACTTAATTAAATCTGAATTAATTAAATGCAATTAATATTACACCCCATATATTTAATAACTCTTCTCTCACTGATACAGTTAACAATTCAGCAGCTCTTTTGAAGGGAGCTTCAGCCAAGGCAGAAGTGAGAGGAGAAGATTTACAGGGCCCCATGGCCTCATATGCATCTCTAGTCACAGACTTAGTGGGTGCAGAAAACATACATTTTATAAGTTTAATCTTTTAATTGCCCAACAGGAGACAAGAAGAACTCCGCTTCCACTCGCAACCCGCATTTATAAACCCTCATCTATACTTGGCCATTTTTCAAATATTAGAAAGTGACAGTGTATTTTGTGCAAATTTTTTTTATTTCCACATTTATATCACAATGTGTCCACTGAAAGGACCAATAGCAAAGTTGCTCCCTTCTGTGCCCAAGAACACAGAAGTCTAGTTACTGTACATTCACTAAGGCTGTTTTTGCAAGTCGCTTTTGTGATGGATATCCATAAGGCAAACAATATCTAAAGGAATGGTAACAAGTATATTTCCAGCATACAAACAGGCTTCTGTCTCCCCCTTCACAGGACATTTACAAACTAGTAGCACCCTCGGTACAAGTTGGAATTTTCTTTTGTTAAACAGAAAAAAATAAACAAAACAAAAATAACCACCTTCCCCACCCACTGCTTTCCCGTAGAAAATCTGCAGAAAGGGGGTCAACGTGCTTAGGCTGGTGGTGATGGTGCTGCTGGGAGAACTGTGAACACTTTTTTGCAGCATTTCCTGGATCTGAATTCAAACTGAAACCAGACTACACCCCGTGAAAGTCTACAGAATGCTGAGCTGAAGGTGGGCCTCTCTCTCTCTCTCTCTCTATGGCCCTTCCTGCACCGCAGAGCACATATCATTGCAAGTCACATCTCCACATCAGGGGGACTTTTGAAGAGAAATGTAACGCAAAGAAGAACTACCTACAGTTTTGCACAGTTCGTTTTAAAACATCTCACTGCCGTATTTATTTCTTTTTAAGAAAATCAAATCAAGACAAATAAATAGACTCAACTACTCTCGTGTTAAATGTTTCATTTCCACAATTACCCACCTGTACCTGCCTGACCTTGGATTCTGGCATTCACAAACAGCTGGAAACGGTTTTCACCTTTGGAAAACTAACACTTTTGTTTTGCTTTGTGTCTAACAGCTGGCTTGCTAGAGTTCAGAACTCTACTTGTTTTTTTTTTAATCAAACCTTTTGTTATGCCTCCCTTTGCAATTTTGTTAGTAAACTGGTAGCAGCACTTCACAAAAAAAATAAAATAAAAATAAAATTTAACAGGAAAGAAGAAACTGCCAGCGTCCAGCTCTCTGACACACCCTCTCTGCTTTGTGAGCCTCTTTCAGTGTGATGGGGGGGTAGATGGGGGATGGCACAGCACCTGCCCACTTTACTAACCTGCCAGTGTAAAAAAAGCATCTTAGCAAAATTGTACTCAGTCTAGGCAGATGTAAGGCAGGATGTTCAGGCGCCCCTCATCCCCATGTGGATCGAGCGATATGCATTGCGTCCAATCATACCAGTTACCCTGTGTATCATAACATCCATTCACGCCAGGCCAGTGTTGGCTGCATATCCTGTCAAGGTCATCCTGGGTCACCTCCCGTGTTACCCCAGGCAAGTCTGCAGGTTTGCTGTGTGGAGCCAGGACATGAGTTTTCCGGGCTTCTCTCCTAGTGCTTTCCTCCTGCTTTAAATATTCAGACATGAAGTAGTGAGCCCCTGGAGTCTGCACCCCTGAGGAGGACAGCAAACTACTCTGCCTGTTTAAATAGGACTGAATTATTTCATTCCGGGACAATTCTTTCCAATTCGTCTGTTCAAAGGGACTCTGCAGAGGTGGCTTCGGCTCCTGCTTATCTGTGCCTGTCCTGTGCTGCTCAGCAAGAGCAGGAAGATCCACCTGCAAAGAGTCCCTCTGTGCTAAAGTCTTGATCTCGCCCGTCATGGGGTCAAAAGTCAGTCGCCGCTCTTTTTTTAACCGTACAGGCTTGACCCCGCCTTCCATCAGCTGCCCGTCCAAGTTGACTGCGTGGTCTTTGGGCCGGTACTTTTTCTTCTTCTTGCTGTCGGACCCTGAGGCAGCACTGTCACTGTCCATCCTTGAAGCATCTGGGGATAAGTCAACCAAGGGTGCCAAAGACTCTACTGAATGGGAGCCCACTCCACTGCCGGGAGAGGCTCCTGCGCTGAGCTGAAGCTGGCTCTCGGGCACCCTTGGATGCTCCTGATCGTGAAGGGGTGCTTCAGGGTCCACTTGATGAGATGCCTCCAGTCTCTTTGCTAGTGATGGCTGTGGCGACAGCTGTACTAGAGAGGGGGGAGGTGGCGATAAGGGCACTGGAACATCCAGAAGAGGGGGCCTTGGGCATGGGGTAAGCGTCAAATTCTTGGGGGAGTACGTGGTGTGTTGCCGAGCAAATGTTTCCAGCCTGACATTCCTGGGACTGAATGAGGAGCAACGGGGACTCCTAGGTTGGTTGGCAGCAGCCTCCTCTGCTTTGTCATGCTGCTGCAACACTGCCGTTTTCAGCAGTAAGGATGTCCCGGAAGTTTTGAAGAGTCCCGGAGAGCTGGTGTGAGGCCGCACTGCATTGATGGGGATCTTGCTGGGCTTATCATTTTCACTCACCTCATCCCTGTTGCCTTCTGGCCCTGGGAGAAGACTCACATCTGGAGGGCTGGGAAAGCTCTCTGGGCTTCCACCAATCCCATTGGTGGGAGGCGGAGAAGAGTTTTGTAATACTTCATAACTGGCTTTGGAAACTTTTGGCAGCGGCAGAGGGAGACCATCCTTGGGCTCACCTTGCCTCTTCCGGTTCCCTGGCTTTGGAGAGTGCAGCTTTTGGACATCATTTCTATTCTTCACATCTTGAATGGGTTTAGATCCAATCACGGCCCCAGGAGAAGTTTCCACTCGGCAGTTGTGAGCTCCACCGTTGGCTGATCCAGGGGGATTTGGCAATCCTCTCAAGGTGGCTTCGTTCTGTGAAACAGGCTCAATCAGCTTCTGCCAATTCCGCAACAGTTTTTTGGCCCGTTTAGCAAGCTCCTCATTCTTGGTTTTCTTCCTCACGTCATTGATGAGCTTCCCCAGCCGTGTTTCCTAAGAGTGTTTTTTTTTTTAAAAGAAAGAACATAAAGATGATTATTTTAAAAGACACCTCATCAAAGTATCATTAATGGAGAAACTTCTTTTGTTCTCTCAATGGGTATGTTCTGACAAGGCCCAGAAGAGGAAAAGGAGTATAGGACAATTAAATAGCTGATTTCAAGTTTCGTTTCTTAATCACAGCCAGAAAAGGGGGGGGGGGGGAGTACAATGAAAGAACAAGGAACTTGTAAGGTGGAAAATTATCCAGAAAACTTTGATTGCATACTTTCCTAAAACAACGTTCCTATTTTAAGAAATGGCTCCTTTTGCTAAAGTTAATTTGTAATCCGCAAAATGTAAATCAAACAGGGCGGCTAAATTTTGAAACAAATCTAATTGACTATAGCATCGTGTTTTTCACATGATTCAAGTATGCTAAAATAAGAACATTAGAACAATTTTAATATTTTAACCACTAGTGCCATATAATGATTAAAATGTTGGGCTAGAGTAGAGACCCAGCTTCCAATCTCCCCTCAACTACAGAAGGTCTCTGGGTGACTTTAAGCTAGTCACTCACTCTCAGTCCAGCCTACTTCAAAAAGCAACCATATCATTGTGGGGAAAATATAGAGCTATTACACTCTGGGCTTTTAAATCAAATAAATGATAATCTTCCTAAAACTTTAATCAATACAAAGCCAGTGTTGTATTTTCAAATATATGTATTAAACCCAAATAAATAGTTTGATTTATTTAAATACATTAACATTTATAATATCAATGCTACAATTACACTAAAAAAATATTTTGTGTAGCATTTGATTCAAATCTATAGTTAAGGAAGTAAAAAAATCAAATTGGTAGGTAAAGCGGAAGAACATCCTCTGGTTAATTTTTTTCCAAATCTATAATCATATCAAACATGAATATGTACACACATCTAGTGTTGCAGAATATCCTTACAAAGACCGATCCCATCCAAATATACTTTGAAATGGCAGAATAAATCAAACTGGTACTATTGTAAGTGAATCAAAACCAACAAAGGAAACGCAAACCATTCTGCACTTAATAAGGTCGGGCAAGCAGAGAATCATCTCAACTGTAAATGAAATTTGTAGCATCAACCAGTTATAAATTACACTCCCTCTTTCTAACTGATGCTGGCTGAGAAAGCTGTGGGCAGCTTCCAGGAATTCCACAGGCTACAGCAATAGGTGAGCTGTTAACAAGTTCAGGCAAGCTGTCAATACTCATTCTTTGTATGATTCAATTTTTTTTATCACAAGGAGGTTAAAATCCATGAACTGTCACAGAATATGCACATTTCATCATACATGACTTTATCCAGTTCACTAAGTCTCAAAGTGACCTATTTGCAAATGTTCACAAAAATTAACTGCAAAAGCTTGATGTGAATCTGTCCTTGCTTGTTGCATTTCCTTTAGATGACTCTTATCAAGTTCCATTTGGTTAAGATAATAACTTTGGCCAAAACATGTCAGGTAAAGGACTTAAGTGTCTCTCTTCTCAGAGGACCGAATCTTCTTAGCAGGCAAGGAGAAAGCAGTGCTTTCTTTTTTTTGTTTGTGAGGCTGTATATTTAAATTATGTTTATTATTCTTAGTCTTGTTTATATTATTCTTATTTCTACTTGTTTTCATGCATTTGCTTATGTTAAATCAGACTGGGGAGTTTCCAAAGCCTTGAATAATTAAAAATATTTACAGTACGTTCCAAACTCATCCTGACAAGTTCCTAGCACATTTGTATGGCTTAAAAGGCTCACATCTTTATCAACCATAACAATTCACTGCTTGGGTGTCCTTCTCTCCTTTAATCAATAGATGAAGGTGGTGGTGGTGGGGAAGCCACACAATAAAAAAAAGTCAGTTCTGCTTTATTCAGTATGGCATATATACAGCCAGTCAGCAGACCTTACAAAATTCTGAAAACTGAAAAATAGTAAACACATATAAAAAAGGTTTTCGGGAATTACAAGAAATAATAGTAGTTGGTTTAAATCTGCTCATGCTGGGCTTCTTGTCAAGAAAAAGAATCTAAAAATGCAATTATTTTAAGAAAAAAGAGATGAAAATGTCATAATTCTTGGGAACAGCTTCCTCTGCCCTCCCATGGTGGAGGTGACATTAAGGGTGACTACAGAATGTCAGTCAAAATAGGATACCGGGAATATAAGGTTGTAGGATTGCTGGGACACCTGGAGCTTCTTTGGCCTTCAGAGATAGACCAGTAAAATCCTGTTGTTTGTTGCTATTCTTGCGTCAAAACAGTGAGAGAACATTTCTCTCAATCACAAAGTATAATCACGCCTAACAAGGAGTTGAATGTATGTATTCAGACTGGAATAAGATAGGTGATACATATAACTCCTCCTCCTCCTCCTTCTTGTGCCATATCGGTCCTCGGACGTTGGTGATCCTATTTTTATCAACAGTCGCACAAAAAAGTGGTGTTGAGTTTTGTCCAAGCCAGTCCCTTAGGTTTTGAAGCCATGATGTTCTTCTGCCTGGACCTCATTTGCCTTCAATCTTTCTTTGGAAGATAAAATGAAGTATGCCATATTTTTCACATCACATGTCCTACATCCTCCTATAATTCTTCCTACAACTTTAAATACCATGCCTACTTTTGGCATTTTCTAGTATTCCATGATTTTTTTCTTATCGGGAAAAGAATACTTGCTGTAGGAACAAACCTCAAGTGCCTCTTTGGTGATGGGGTATTTCTCCAAGCTGGAGATCACTTCTAGTACTGCCACCATGTTATGTATCTGTGGAAAAAATGAACAGAAAGTAAGTATCCTTTTAGAAAAAAGCTTATGCTTTAGCTACACCATGTTATGTCACACTGGACAGTAGAGCTGCCTATGTCAGCGGTCTCCCTGGAATTCCCTACACGAGAATTGAAATATTTGAAGCAGGTAGTGTCAAAAAATGATGCTTTTTCTGTTGAAAATGTATTTGCCTGGAACTCTTTTTTTCTGCTTGGGGTTGCCTACTTTTTTATGGTAAGTGAAAATCTAATTCTCTGGGTTTCTTTGGTGTCACACTGTAGGCACATGACTTAAATAAATTATTTCCAGTTTACTGCATCTCATTTTATTTCATACTCTAAATTTTATTATTGCCAGAATTGGGATTTTATTCTCAAACTTAGTTATATAAAAGCAGCTTAATTCTACACGAAGAATGGCTTGATTTGCCATAAATAAGATGTCCTTAGTCCATAACATTGGCTCCAAAAATTAAGATGTAGTGATTATGATCGTTTCCCTGGACATACCAGATACCATGACACTATCTCAGTGATCTACATTATGAAGGCGCACTTAACTTTGCATGCCATTATCAGTAAATGTTCATACACACACATGTAACTAAACACATTTCCATTATTTTTATCTTCTTCCTTACGATATGCCACACAAATCTGCAGTGGATATGCTCCCAACTAATAGTAGCAACCCCCAAAAGGAGTAAAGCACTAAATTGGAGCATTTTATTAAAAATAGGTGTCCTTTAGCTATTCTGCCCCTTACTATATAAAATGTTTATGAAAAAGACAGCTAAGGAAGAGAGTATTCTAAGGTTACCAAAAGAAAAAGTAAATTAAATGAATTAATAATCTATGGCTGGCAATAGCAAGGCACTTTTATTAAGACCAACCAAAAAGACCTAAGTTGATCAGCAACTCACATTTTTAA